TAACCAATGGAGCTGCAACTGTAGGGCAGTATCGGGAAATTTTGAACTCGGAATTCAATATTGCATTCTTCAAGCCAAAGAATGATCAGTGTCAACTATGCACGGCTTACAAAGATGTTGATAATGATATAAAATTGAATATGCAATAACAATGTGATCAGCACTTGGCCAATAAAGTTGTAGTCAGGAACTTGAAAGATGTGGATAAAGAGCTGGCTACTAATGATAAATCCTTATGTGTTGCGTGTGTTTTGTCTTGCAAAAGGTGTTGGTTACCCCTCAATCAGAAGTTAGCACATTTTATGAAAGTAGAATTGCAACGTATAATTTCACAGTCTATGACATAGGTAACAATGAAGGGTTCTGTTACGTCTGGTATAGAGGTGGCAAAACGAGGGCCAAATGAAATCAGGAGTTGCCTATTCGACTTTCTGAAAACACAAAAAGTTAAACGGGTTAAAAGTTACTCCGACAATTGCGGGGGCCAAAATAGGAACCGTTTTATTTTCTCCATGTTCGCATATGCTTCTAACATTCTCAACATGAAAATAACTCGCAAAATGAAGGAGATAGCATGCATGCAGTGATCGAGACAGCTGAAAAGCGACAGGGTGCTGTCTACACCCCAAGTCAATGGATAACATTAATGAAAATGGCTAAGATAACTGGAAAACCCTATACAGTAAAAGTAATGTCCCAAGCAGACTTCTTCAAATTTTCTAATAGGGTTAAAAATCAGAACTGGAAGATGGACGAAAATCTTGATCAAATAAAAATTAGTTAAATCCGGGAATGGTCGTGGTTATCAGAAGAACCAAATACTGTCCATTTTAAATATGAATTTGAAGAATCACCAAGAATTTTAAGAATAAAAAAAATTAGGCGCAGTCAACTTCAAACTTGTGTTCAATTGCCTCAACTACTTCTCTCCCTATTCTCAGTAAGAAATTACAATGATTGCTACAGCTTTGCAGAGGTAACAGGCCGTCATCGTATGTACCATAATTTATTTTTTCTCTAAAATCAAAGGAAAGAACGCTGACGAAGAATGGTAAAAATCCGAACACTGAAGTTTCTAGTAGCAGCGTCATTTAAGAACATGATTTTGAATAGAAGTTAATGTATTTAATCTATTTTTTACAAGTATTTTATAAAGTTTCTGAATTAAAATGTTTAGTTATAAAGTTTCTGTATTAAAATGTTGATTCAAAATGATCGTATGTAATTTTTTTTCATAAATTGTTCCGACGAAGAATGTAGTAACTCTATACAAAGGGATACAATAAGACCAAATGAAAGTTTTTTTGGTGAGAAGTCTTGGGGTTTGATATTTAAATCAACATACAAAAGTTTCGTTTTCAACGGTGTCTTTTTGGTTATTTTGGAACCCGCTAACTAAATTAAATGCCAACTTTCTCAATTCTATCAAAAATGACTTACTACAGTCTTCGTTGCATGAGTCGAATTACTCCTGTTCCAAAAGGGCACAATTCTGAGTTATATACAAACATGCGGCTCTTAGAAGGAATAATATAAGTCATTGAATATATGAAGAAAGCAAGATATTGACAAAATTTCAAGCAGAATTCAGAAAAAAGTATTCTAGTGAAACAGCAATTTAAATGGTAGTAGAAGAATGGAGGCGACAGAAGTTCACAGTAACATTGTTCTTGGATTTCAAGAGGGCATTTGAGACTATTGACAGGAAGACATTGGATTACTATGAATTTCAAGGTTCAGTATTCAACATATTACAAAATTATTTAATCAATAGAAGTCAAAGAACTAAAATTGGCAATACATTTCAAGCATTAAAAACATTTCGGTAGGTGTGCCACATTGTAGCAAATTAGGTCGATTACTATTTATTTTATATATAATATATTCCTGATGTTTCACAACACTGCAAAATTCAACTATTTTCTGATGATACATTAATATATATATAGAGAGAAAATGATCATGCGGAGAAAGGTATATATATATATATAATACGAGCCCCTTCCCACTTCAGTTGGCCCACTTCAAGATTTGTACCAAAATATGCCCTTATAAACTAAACATGACGAAACTATTTACTTCTAAAGCAATTTATTTTCTCTAAAACATTTTGGATACACTCTAGTCGTAAAAAATACATATTTGAAATCACTTAGACCTATAACTAAAGGAGCATCTGAACAAATAAACAATGTGCGAATAAATGCGCGAAGTTAACAAAGCAACAATTGAAAGATTACCATTGGGTAACATCACCTTTATTTTTTATTACGGCTGAAATTCTTTGGGGCATAGTGTTAACCAAGTATTGGCAGATCTGGACAGCTAGAAACCCATTTCAAAAGTGGTACATTATTTTCTTCCATCCATTTTATAGCCTTTTTTGAGGTATGGCACGCTGCACCATCTTGCTGAAACACAAAATCTTGGCCGGATGCCAAACATTCTTTCATCACTGGTAAAGGCGATTCTTCTAAAATTGCCAAATATTTGTTTGTATCCACATTTCCATCAATAAAATGAAGTTTTCTTACTCCTTTTGATGTCATACTGCCCCAGACCATAATGGATGCTGGAAATTTCACTTTTCTCTTCAGACAGCCAACATCGAATGCTTCATTTTTTTGGTGAATAACTCTACTGCGACTGTTACCAAGACAAACTTCGAATCGGACCTCATCACTCCATTGTATTGCACACCATTGTTGAGGTGTCCATTGTCTATGTTCTTTAACCTATCTAAGCCGATTTTTCTTTTGCAGTGGAGTTAATAGTGGCTTTTCTTTGGCCTATAAACAAGTTGTGCAACTTTAGGGTTTTTACTTCACTTTTTTTTTATAAGAAAACTTACCTTGCAAGTGCTAAATCCCAGTTTGTGGGCCTCTCTATGAATTGTGGACCTCGAAAGTCTCCTTCCAACAGTGTCACTCCATAGAGCAGTTAACTGTAAATAATTGGCACGCCTGTTTTTCACGATTATTCTTCTTAATGCTCTTCGGTCGGCATTTGTGATATTACTTTTTTTCACATATCGTGGCTTAATATTAACTGAACCAGTTACGTTATATCTTCCAACAATATTTCTCACACTGTACCGCGATAAGTCTAACAAAGTTGCAATTTCTGCGTTTGATTTCCCAGAATTAAAAAATATATATCAGTAACCGAATTTTCTCACTAATAACCTTTCCTCTACCCATTTTGAAAACCTTAACTACCCAAAACTATTTTAAACGTATCCTGACAGCTGTGATTAATAAAACAATTGTCATGGCTTTTATTTTTCACAGCCACCTATGCGAATAGACTTATTTTGCATTGAAATGAAAATAGGTTGATATGCTATAATTGCAACATGTGTTATTTTTATGTTGCAAATTTGATTAGGGAGTGATAAAGTTGGTGTTTTCTACTATATATTATCAAAATATTCATTGTTAATATTTTAAACCTATAACACACTGCTACAGTTTTATTATTTGTGTTTGATAAGAAAAAAACTAAGATTTCAATAGTTGGGCCAACTGAAGTGGGAAGGGGCTCGTACTCAGCTGGGGGGTTGTAGTAGTAGTATATTTAGCCAAATTTCAAACTAAAGCTCACATGGCATGTCAAAAAGTAGTATCAATATCACAGTAAATGTGAGTCTACAGAGTTTGTTACACCACACAATAAACTAGATAAAAAAGTACAATACAAGTTAATTCAGCAAGGTCAAAACTAGACGAAAATAGCTACTTGCTGAAACACTACATAAGAAATATAAAATAAAAACCTAATGCTTACTGATTTTGAAAATTTAAAAATTCATTTATTGAGTAAAAACATTTCTTACTTAAAAACCTTATTTTTAAATTTGATGTAGCTCTCTATATCTCGAGGTAGAGTATTGTGTGTTGCCTAACACATTAGTAATTTTTTTCTCATTACTTGTGCATAAAATTTCATGAGAATGTTGTCGTTTCATTCTTCATTGCCAAAAAATCAAGTTGAAGAAATTATTTTTTCTGGGTGTAACACTTCTAATGTCACTGAGTATATACGGTAAAAGCCTTGGAACATGCTAGCATTTCATTATGTACAGTTTCTAATGGAATATCCTATACATCATAACTTGAGACATCAATATATCATATACTTACACTATATACAGGTTTGTCTTGGATGCGATCCCATCGTGGCCTACCAGGTAACACTCTATACACGGGAGCCATACCTTGACTATACATTTTGGCCTGCTTGTTGAGATCGACCAGATTGAGACATACGCACATACATGATTTTGGTGCTTGCAAGCCGAAATAGAACCACGTACGGTTTCCGTTTTCAAATGGGGTACCAGCACAGTCTGGTTTCGTCCACACATTGAATTCAGCATCACAGGTGTCATGGATCGCTGACTTACTGTTTCTGGCGGGAGCTAAAAAATACACAGACGCTCGATAACGTAAACACGGGATAATGAAACTTGCGCTAATGTAAACACAAACTTCGTTCTATAGGATCAAAGGGAACGCGCGATAACGTAAACAACTCTCGGCGCACGGAAACAGCGCGACGGGGAGTCCCCGATTTGATGTAGAGTGTAGGGGATTCACCTCTGCGATAAAATACGACAAACTCGGTCAGTCGTATGATCGTTTAGGATACGTTTATACGTACGTATGTATTTCATTTTTGAACTTAAGTGAATACATTGCACACGCGTTAATATATTTACGACTATGGCATGCACATCCTATAAAAGAAAGTGTTTAAAGTTGAGTGAGAAAGTGAAAATCATTGACGAAGTTGCACTACGTGCGGGAGTGACACAGTTAGCAAAAAAATATGGAGTATCGAAAGCAACAATCTGTAAAATTAAGCGTATGAAAACTCCAATTTTACAAAGAACGTGCAATACATTTGGAGGTCCGGGAAAAAGAAAAACTTTAAAAAATGCGAAGGCACCTAAAATGGAAAATTCCCTGTATAAGTGGTTTTTAAAACAACGGGAAAATCATGTCCCAGTTAGTGGCGAAGTACTTAAACAGAGAGCGAGACTGTTAAATGAAAAACTGAAATAAACTGAAAATTTCGTAGCTAGTGATGGCTGGCTACAACGATTCAAAACAAGATATGGAATTCGACTGCTGTCTATATCTGGTGAAAAATTATCAGCACAACCACAATTAGTGCAACCATTCAAAGAAATTGATGAAAACAATACCGAGCTAGATTTAAGAATGGAACAAATTTACAACGCAGATGAAAGTGGCCTTTATTGGAAAATGTTACCAGAGAAAACCTATGCTGCATCATTTGAAAAATCTGCCCCGGGAAGAAAGCCGGAGAAACAACGAATAACGTTTCTAGCCTGCACTAATGCTAATGGTTCACACAAAATAAAGCCACTGATAATTGGGAAAGCAAAAAACCGCGCTCATTTAAAAATGTTAATATCCCTGTTGATTATGACTGTTCAAAAACCGCTTGGATGACTAGCAGTATATTCCTGAAATGGTTCCACAGGTGCTTTGTCCCTCAGATATGACAATCAATTATCACAAACGCTCTATTCATAATTTGAAGATGTGTTTTAATTTGTAGGTAAAAGGTTTCCTAAAACAACAGAAGCTTCCAATAAAAGCGTTGTTACTATTGGATAATGCACCAAGTCATCCTCCCGAGCAACAACTGAGGAGCAGGGATGGTCAATTTTCGTCATGTACATGCCCCGCCCAACGTAACACCGTTAATTCAACCGATGGACCAGAATATAATAAGACTCACCAAACTATACTATAGGAAGTTTCTACTTTCGTCTGTCTTATCAAAGAATCCTGAAAACTTATCTGAGGCTTTAAAAAAAGTAACATTACGAGAAGCTGTTTTAGATTTACATATGGCCTGGAATGAACTTAACCAGCAAACTATTAAAAATGTTGGAACAATCTCTTTTGTACAAATAATGAAGATGAAGAAGACGATGTCCCCTTAAGCGTAATTAGAGAACGTTTGCGATCCAATAGTGATAATGTTATTAGTGTGTCATTGGATGATGTGTGATTTATTAAAACAGTGAATCCCAACATTGTTTGTACTCCTGCTGATATTAATTTATGGAACGAAGATAAGCAGACGAATGATGCTGATAAGGAGGAGGATATGGACAGTGAGGATGATGATGAGAACGATCCCATTGAAGTCAGAAGTGTAGTGACTGACGCGCAAGCTATACAAGTTTTTAACCAAGCTTTAGATTGGGCTGAAAGAAAAGAAGTTTCATACACGGATATTTTAGTTCTTCGTAAATTACGGGCGCAGGCATTGGAAGACAATGCTAAGCGCAAATTTACGCAGACAAAAATTGTTAATTATTTTTCTTCTAATTTATCGCTGTTAGAATATTTGTTTATTTTGTTATAAATAGTATGTATTAAACGTTTCTTTTAATAAATCAAATATTATATAAATCACGTTCGCTAATGTGAAGATCTCGATAATGTGAACCACACTTGGATTAAATTAGTTTACATTATCGAGCGTCTGCTGTATACATACTCAATGAAAATAAGCAGCCAACCAAAATGAATTCATAAGAGATATTTTACGAGCTTGTTTTAAAAAATATATTGAAATTAAAAAAAAAAAGAAAAAAAAACAATCTTGACAACAAAGTGGAAAAAAGGAAAAAAGCATTGATAGAAAAAACATGTATAAAAAAACAGCAATATAATATTGTGCGCATACTATATGTAACTATAATCGTGTAACAAGAATGAATGGTACTACTAGCGACATCTGTTGAGAACCTCGCCACGGACTCTCCTTCTGCATCGAAGCGAGGTACGAGTGCGATTCTGGAATCACCGCCATGTGGCGTACAGGAATTTTCTAGAATTAACGAGTACCTGCGACGCGGAATATACATATAAGCCGACGGCTGTAGCGGAGTTGAGTGAATACTAATTCGTAAGTAAGTAGTCAGGCATAAATACTGGTGTACATAAATGTTCTATCTATACTATAACTATCTAAAACTGTAATGACTCATCGATGTTCACGTGAACATCACTTAACTACCAGTAGTCGGCTGTTCATAGGCGGGGTATGAATCTTTAACATGGGTGAACTAGATTTGTCACATGCTTTATAAAGAGTGGTTTGAAACATATTGTAAGTCAAAAATTTGGGAATTACCTTTATTCATCGGCGCTTCCACTTACATCTGACAGTAATAAACTGCCGCTATCGCTTTCCTCGTTGAAATTGACTATTACTGGCTCTATGATGGTGTCGATGTGGTGGTCAAGCTGCCACATTTTTGTTTCTTCCTTCACAACATGACGGATAGCATTCTGCCAAGCTTCGGGCGTTACTAGCTGTATGGAAGTCTCAAGTAAAACCTTAACGTCTGGTAATTTGAAGGTTGTGTTATGGCGCGCAATATAACCCTTCACTTGAGCCCAGATGAGCTCTATTGGGTTCAGTTCACAGTGGTAGGGCGGTAACCGCAGCACAGTGACACCACATTGACGGGCCATCTCATCAGTCACGTAACTAATGTTCGCAGGTTTGTGCTGTTTAATTTTTTCATACAATTCCGCTTTCACACATGAATCGTCAAACGGGATTCCTTTTTCGCGCAACCATTGCTGCATGTCACTTGTTCGAGATCCCATAGTCGGTACACGTTCGGCTCCACGTCTATGGTAGGAAGCATTATCCATGACGATCACAGAGTTGGGCTCAACTCGCTGAAGCACCCCTTGAAACCAGCTCTCGAAGCAGCTGGCATTCATTTCGTCATGGTAATCACCTCCTTTCTTAGAGACGAAAATCAAGTCACACTCTTCTAAAAAGCCACTATCGCTACCAATATGACGGTCCACGAAGACCTGTTGACAAACCTTCAATGCTTGCTTGTCTGTTACTCACTACGTTTTTGTCTATCCAGGTTTTTTTAACTGTGTGACCTGCATTTACCCTTGATCGCTGCATGTACAGCCTTGAGGGTTGGTATCTCATTCCTAAAGAAGAATGAATGTACGGTTCACCTTAACGCCATTTTGCTATCGACATCCAATTTAACGGCCTTTCGTCCCTTCAAATTACACTTTGGATCAGTAGTAGCTCCAGTTTTCTTCTTTTCATGCACCACCCTGCGAATGGTCCACTCTCGGACGCCTGTCATACTTTCACAACGCGCGAGTGCATCTCCCTGCGACATAGTTCTGTTCAGATAATTGAACACGTTGAGCACGATTTCTTTCGCGTCCCTCTTCAGTGCTTTACGAAGCCGTCTACTTGTTCCCTGGCTTTCAGTACTTCCACTCGTGCCATTTGTACTCTCCATGGTTAAGTATAACCAAAACAGTAAACACAGAAACCACAACAATAACAATCACACAACAATTCTTATAAAAACACACAATATGCGATCGCTCAACGAAACACGTTCCAATGCGTTGCCGACGCCTATGAGTCTGCCGGTCGAGGCGCGTCTTTGATTTCATTGGTTCTACCGGCGGAGAACAATCAGCCATTATTTCCATCTCTGTCTGTGCTGTTGACCACCGCAAAGCCACAGAAACGACATATGTCGTACGCTATACGGCTGTACTGGAAGGAAGCCGGGATCGAGCTCTGATCACGTGTTGATCACGCGTATGAGTCATTACAGTTTTAAATAGTTGTAGTATAGTAGTATTCAACTTTTGTGCAACTAGATTAACTGGTGGACAGTTGCTTTGCAACATGGACAATTTTACCCAAATTCAAATCTCGATATTTTCGGAACGGAAATAGATGTCGATTTGCAGTATTCGGGAGGTTCTTGACCAACTATTTCAGAACACGTACGGGGTTCGATCGGTATATTTCTTTTATTTATCCACTTATACTGGTATACGGGATGAGCAAATCAAGTCAGTTTTTTAGCAAAGTTTGGGGCTATGTCAGATCCTCAATTTTTGATCTTGGAAAATTTTCTATGCATCTTTTTGGTTTTTGAAGTAACCTAAAAAAAGGGAGATCTCAAATTTGTTGGCTATAACTCAAATTATCGCAATAAATGTCTTTCGGTTCACTAGGCTGTGATTGATATGCGGAGTGGCCCTACAAGGTACTAGCAATATTGTTTACAATAACTGTTGCTGTTTTGTAAAAAGTTCGTTTTTGTCATAACTAAATGATTTAGGTATTTAACTGGTTATCAAACTTTTGTTTTCTAAAATGTTACATATTGTTAATGTTGATCAATAAATTGTTAGATGTTGTTTAAAAATTTTATGGAGTCTATTGCGTATTGTAAAACATCTGCAATATAGAAAAAAAAAAAAATAAATCCAGATAAAAGATGAATAGCAGTGTTGGCCAGGATCACAGCATTTTGAAAAATAAAAATGTTTAAGATATTAGCACTTCTTACCACACCAAAAAATGCTTTTAGTGTTATGCCATTAGAATACATTCCTACATTAAGAGTAGTAAGTTTTTTCTTGGATGCAAGAAATTCCTCCTTATGCAACAGTATCAGAAAAAATCAAGAGACACCAAAAAAGTCCCGTTTTTAGGTATAAAGATAAAAACCTTTTTAAAATTCGATAATTTGAATTATAGCCAACTTTCGAAAAATCTGAGAAATTACTGTTTTTAGGATAGTCCAAAGATGAAAAAAATGCATAGAAAAATTTCCAAGATCAAAAATTGACAACCTGACATAGCCCCAAACTTTGCTAAAAAACATCACTTCCTTTGCTCACCCTGTATATGTGGATAAATAAAAGAAATGTACTGATTAAACCCTGCATGTGTTCTCAAAAAGTTGGGCAACAACCTCCCAAATACACTAACTCAATATCTCTTTCTGTTCCGAAAGTAGCGAAATTTGGATAACATTTTCCATGCTGCAAAGCAACTGTCCATCAGTTTATGTAGTTGCACAGAATACTGTATGAAGATATAAATACGAAAAGCTCCATTTGGAAATATTTTGACAAAATTAACAATCAAAAGATTCATATTGTCAGTAATGCAATTAGTAGTAGTAGTAGTGGTGGGGAGGCAAAGCCTGGCAGCTAGGCCACCTTTGACCCTTTTTGTCAGCCCCCTACTACCAACACTGTACAAGCCATCAACTGGTAACTTATACAATAAACCAGCTCTAGCTGCGAGATAGACCTATTAATATTGAACAGCGCGCGCATACAAACAACACAACATACATGGCATGGAATTAACTTCAGATACAGAACTGCAACCCCTGGATTGCTAGCCAGACATGCTGAACACCTAGGCTCCCAGTAATGCAATTAATAAATGCATATTTAGGTAATTAAGATAATACTGCTTAGAAAGGATCAGTTGATTCCTAACAGCCATTATAGAATGGGTCATTTATATTTCTATAATATGATACAAATCTTTTTGGCTGATTTACAAAAAAAGACAAACATAAATATAACCTGGTAGCTTATTCAGAAAGTAATAGCTGGTCACCCTATTTAAGATGCAACTAATCCTCAGTTTTCCCATAGAAAAAATATGCTCTATAAATACTTACCGCTATCATCCTGAGGGATATACTCCACTTTGGCAAGGTTAGCAGAATCAAAGTTATTGTAAAATTTGAACTGGGCACACGATATTCCTTTGCCAATTTCCATCATGAAGTTCCTTAAGCAAATATCGCTACAATTTTTGACTGCCCTGTCATATTCTGCTTGACCTAGAATATATATGTAAATTCTGGTGAAACTGTGAAAATTCTGCAATAGTCTGATTGAGACTATTTACTAACAAATACAAAGGTAAATAAATGGAAATGGATCGAACATTTTAGTCAACTGGTCTCAGTTCAACATTGAAAATGAAAATCAATGGACACATTTAGCAACACTAATTGCACACCATATACTTACAGTTACACAAATCCAGCACAGCTGAATTTGATTCTGGTTTCTTCAAATTTAAACTATTTAAATTTGGAGGAAAATACTATATAAACAAATTACTGTTATCATTTTGTGGGCCGCACACGTCATGAAATTTTTGACACTGACATTTCCTCCCTTGGCAGCGTTGCCGCTTATGGTTTATGGAATCATCCAGCGACAATGGAAAAACTAGACTGTTCATAGACACAAATCAAATTCAAGCGGATAACCAAATCAAAATGGTATTTACCATTTTGGGTTGGTATTTACCGATCCGTTCAAGCGAGTGTGGTCATCAGTTTGGTTACAAGATCCGTGACGTCATGAATCAGCTGTTATATGTCACAGTTATCACCGCAAAAAAACTCAGGAGTAGTTTTATATTTCTGGTTATTATTTGAAATGTGACAAGTTAGAATTTTGCCGGGTATCGGACATTGTTATTGTACTTCAGCTTCATTTTTTGGGAAACTTGATACAGGCTGACTTCAGCGTTAGCATAAAGTGGAGCACCTTATTAATTATACTCATTGCTGTTGTTGGGAACACTTTCAATCTAATTCCTATGTTTAACAAAGTATCCTGTGTAGCCATATACCACAAGAATATTCAAATATGGATATTTAACACACTGGATGATGTCCACCTGTATACGGTTTTGCTAATATGTTTTTTCATCATTTCTGCTAAATAAATAAATGTTTTCTTTGACATGCGGAAAACTTTAAAGAATTGAAAGTTATCATAGCTACAAAACCATGGTTCTATCAATAAAAAGAATTTTCTGGAAAAAAACATTTCTCCCATGAATATTATGAAAGGTTTCTTATTTAAACTTTCCATACACCGTTGTAGACAAAAGAACACCGATTATTAAGTGATAATAAAATAATCAGAGATTATATACGCACTTTTCTAAAATAAACAACTTGCAACAAAACCGCGGTTAAAACCAACGCGTTCAAGCGATTTGTGTAACTGACGTCATCAACCCGTGTGTCATCTTGAACCATATTATAACCGCGGTACATAACACAGAAGTTTTGGTTATTCGCTTGGATTTGATTCTTGAAAGTCCATTCTGGTTCTGAAATGTCCTCTGAAAGTTGTCAAGATAAACAACAACAAAAAATTCACACTGTGATATAAAATAGGGGTTATTTGTCAAGCACCATAGGCGTATCATTACCGGGGTCCCGGGAGTGTGGTTTGATATGGATATAGTTCAGGTCACCGTTCTTGGCGGGTCAAAGCAAGACCAGCAGTATCCCTTTATACAGGGTGCGGCAGAGAGGACGGACGTTTTTGGGATGGGTAGTACTCTCCGCTTCCGTCTTCAAGAGAGGTGGGGAGGGTGTCGTTTGACTCGTGAGATCCTAGCATTATTTTACCAGTTGTCGTTATGAATCCTTGGACGGTGGAGCACCGCGTTTTCGCCTATGATTGTTTCGTCCGAAATAATGAGTCAGTCATCGTCGTACAGCGTGAGTTTCGTCGCCACTTCAACATTCATCGGAATAGAGCTGTTCCCTCTCGAAACACCACCCTTCGTTCGGTTGAATCAATTCGCAGGCCTGGTAAACTGATCAACAGAAGACCAAGAGGAGCGCCGCGAACAGTTCGAACTCCTGAAAATGTTGAACGCGTTCGACAGGTCTTTCTTCGCGCAGTCCGACTCGATCTGCCCGGAAACATGCTGCTGCACTTCGCCTTAGTGATCGGTCGGTAAGGCGAATTTTGCATATGGATCTCCGCTTTCACCCCTACAAATTGGCCATTGTGCAACAGTTACAGCCCGGAGATTTGCACAACGAATGAACTTCGCACGTGAGATGGAAGCACTGATCGATCAAAATGAGAATCTCATTTTGTTTATGAGTGACGAAGCGCACTTTCACCTAAACAGCATGGTTAACCAGCAGAATTGTCGTTATCGGGCTAATGAAAATCCGCAACAGTTACACGAATGACCGCTGCACAGCCCAAAAGTAACGGTTTGGTGCGCTGTATCGCAAACTTGCATCAATGGCACTTATTTCTTCGAAGACGGTAATGGTCGTGATGTTACCGTGAACTCAGAGCGCTACGTCGACATGATCACCAACTTCTTTCTCGCTGAATTACGACGGCGACGTGTTCCAATCCGACGTGTGTGGTTCCAGCAGGATGGGGCGACCGTCCACACAGCCCGAGCATCCATGGACGTTATTCGCCCTCTCTTCCCTGGTTTGGCGATGTTCATTGGCCTCCTCGGTCCCCAGATTTATCCATATGCGATTTTTCTTATGGGGACACCTCAAGGCTAGAGTATAACGCGACAAGCCCCGAACTCTGGGACGAATTGAAGGACGAAATTCGCGTGGAAAGTCGCCCAAGCTGAGAGAGCGTTGTTGAAGAGAGTCTTCGCGAACTTCCAAGAACGCCTCCAGCACTGCATCAACGATTTGTCGGCCACCACATTCCTGATGTGATTTTCCACACTTGACTGTCTCAAATGCTATTTCCTTGTGAACCTGATTCCATCAATAAATTTGTTTTCGAGTAAAAATGAACTATTTTATGATTTGTTTAAAACCGTCCATCCTCTCTGCCGCACCCTGTAATATCTGCATCTCCCACATACATACACATGCAACCTGCGCCTCTGTGTTAACGTTTTTGTTCGGTAAGCTCAAAAACATACGTTTCTTAGTAGTATCTTCGTCTCGAAAACTTTGTCGTTACCTAGAATGCCCTTCAATCATATTTGTCAGAGTGACAACTTACTTGATAACGGCGTGCAATTTAAGTTGTCCTGTTATCAATCTTCAATAATTATAAAATTGTACAATGCCCGGAAATACGATCAATGGAGAAGGTCGACAGCTCGTGCTAAATTTATTAGAGTATATCCAGGAAGAGAAATAAAAACAGGCGGCCTCCTGTTACCCACTTCATGCGTACTAGAGAGAGAAGCAGATGCGCTGAAGCTTAACATCCTCGCGCCCATGGTACGGAGACTATGGCATTGATGACTGATGACGTAACTGCCAAGAACGGTCACTACATCTATATTTGTGTAGGTCAAACAGTCACAAACAGTTTTACTAGATTTATACCCGATTCATTATCGCCATAGTTGCAGAGTAATGCAAGAAATGTCACTTGTAGATCAGCTGTTTCACCTCGGTAAACGTCAAAGCGTGATGAATACTCGTGAAATAGGGTATAGGTTTCAGCCACTTAGAGCGGAACTCAAAGTATATAAGATTTTTGCTTTTTCAGGTCAATACAAACAGATACTTCGGTCATGATTTGTTAATTCTATTCATAGAGGACTGCCTAGTTTAGCAGGGTGATCGAAATTTGTAACGCGCTGATAAAAGTGATTTGTAGATGTGCAAGTTTTCAAACGATTAGAATCTAAAGGTACATGAAGAAGATCCGCCCTTCCGTCTCTAACCTATGGACCCATATAGTTCCCGTGCGCAGGGCTTTTCGGCTTGATAGGCAGACGCCAAGTGGTCCAAAAAAATCAAACGATAAATTTTAAAAAGCAGTTTGAGAGGTCCCGACACAGTTTAAAGCCATCCCCAAATTCGCCTAACAGACGTGAAAAAATCGTTAACTTATCATTATAACGCGATCTGTTTTTTAACGTCAATTCCGTGGCCGCCTATGACTTTCAAACGAATCAGTCGTTTACCTGTCTTCTAATCTTTTCTTTTCGTTAAAGGAAAACGTAAGACAATTTTAGTAATGTTCTAAAATACTGCTTAGTGTGTGTTGATTTAGCCATGGTAATTGTTTATTACAATTGAAGACTGTTTAAATCATTGGTGTATCCAGAAATAATTTTGGGGGAGGCTCTGGCGATTGAAAATTGAAGTGGTGGGGGGCAGGTGAATCATGATTCGCCCAGAAGGGGTTACATTTCACAAAAGGTATGCATGTTGTAATAGATAAGGAGAAACATCCAAGCCGTAGCGTATCCTGTTCACAGAAACTGGAGGAGGTATCCAAATGGTACTCTGCGCCTGCGATTCTGATAGAGATCTGTATGTTTGTAGAAAAAATGCCCTGTCGACCAGATTTCCCATCGTAAAATTGATGGACAGTGACTTGCTATCAAGAAAATGTATCTGAATAGTACTGTATCTACGATACGCTTACGATTTGGATATATGCTCCTCGTCGTTCCTGCAATCCTTATACAGATCTGAAAATCGGAATGTCTATCAGGCTTCGTCTTAAAATTGATGCGCATGGACACTACTTACTATCAGGTTAACAGAACGCGAGAGGTATTCAAATGGTACTCTGTCCTGCGAGGAAATTCAAATACATGGCATCGACGCCTCTTGTCGATCCTGGTACAGGTCTATAGTTTTCTGAAGTCGCACTGTCGACCAGACTTTTCTCGTAAAATTCGCAAGTGAATATACAGTGCTCTATCTATATCACTACATGAAACTTGGATCCTTGGCATCTAGGCTCCTCGTAGTTTCTGCGATTTAATGCAAATCCATGTTTCTTAAAGTCCATTGACGATCAGGCTTTTCTTCGAAAATTAGAAGGTTGGACGCTTGTTATCAGGTTCACAGAAATGCGAGTTATGCCTGCTATAACGAAATTCAAATCCATAGAATCGATGCCTCTTGCAGTTTCTGCGATCCTGATACATATCTATAGGTTTCTGTCTGAAAAATCGTACTGTCAGCCAGACTCTCCTCGTAAAGTTGAGGGACGGTGATTTGCTATCATATACACTATGCGCTATCTACGATACTCGTGCGAATTTGGATGATTGGCATCTATGCTCCTTGAAGTTTTTGCAATTTTGATACAGATCTACAAGTTTATTAATATCGCCAAGCTTCATCATCGTAAAATTGATAGATTAGAGACTTGTTATCAGGTTACAGAAATGCGAGAAGGTATGCAAATGTAACCTGCTCCTGCTATGAGATAAGAACGAAATTCAAATCCATGGCATCGATATCTCTTGCCGTTCTCTTGCGATCCTGATATAGATCTATAGGTTTCTGAAAATTACTCTGTCGTGCAGTGCAGACTTTTCTCGTAAATTGGTGGACGACGGGTTGCTATCAGGATCACAGAAACAGGGTGTGTGAATTGTACCGTAAACTTGGATGCTTGCCATCTACGCTCCTCGTCCTTTCTGTGATCCTGATCTACCAGTTTCTCAAAGTCGCACTGTCGACCAGGCTTTCTTCGTAAAATTGGTAGACTGGAAAATGTGTTATCAGGTTTACAGAAACGCGGGAGGTATACAAATGCCACTCTGTTTC